CAGACAAGTCCCTAAGGCCCCATTTGGGATAGTCATTAGGAATATTTGTTGTCTTGATTGGTAACTGAAAGGGGACAGCAGTTCTACCTGTCACACAATCATCTTTTGCCTGACCCAGCCCTTTTTTTTTTCCATTTCCTCCTCTTCTCCCTGATTCTTCCCAGGGCCAAAAGAGCAGCAAAATCCCCTTTTGTAGGTGTGTCAGTGCCCTGTGTTGGCTTCTTATGGAGGGTTTGTTCTGATGCTTAAACTTGTCCAAAGCAAAATGACTTTTGGTTCACTTGGAAAAGTTGACACTAATCAACTCAATTGAAATTAATTAGCCTAAAGCTTTAAGGAACTGGAGAACAAAGCTAGTAGAGAATATGATTTCTTAATTGTGTATGTGGGTTGCCTTAAAGAGCCATGTTCAGAGAATGGGGAGGGGTTAAAGCTTACTTTTAAGCATAATTGGCAAAACTTTTATTTTTTCCCTTTACTGTCTGAATGCCCTTACACTTGCACATCAAAACGCACGAGAATTCATAATAATCGCATATATTTTTGCTGTGGACATGCAGGAGCCTTGAAACATTCGGGTTTGGAATTGTTTCATTGTGTTCATGGCCTGTTGGTATATTAAGTATTGTTACTTATTAAAACTAAAATATACTGCCCATTAGAGCAGTTCTCACAATTACTGCTGTTCTCTTTTCTCCCCTCTTCCTTTCCAAAACCAGCAAGAAGGTAGCAACCTGTTTGATTCTCTGACATCTTAGTGGTACAACTTGCCGAGTGGCCTGTCTTTAACGGTGGCAATAACTCTTAAATTTGTGGCTGCCAGTCCTGTTAACTTCTAATATAGCCTGTGACTGACTGTCTGCTTTGACTGCTTGTTGGTCTCATTTGTAGGGTCTGAGCAATTGTGTACACATCGTTTGCTGAGACAGTATATTTAATAGCAAACACACTGAGTACTTGTCAGTCACAGCCTGGTATGGATGAGATCAGACTATTCTCCTGTGCCAAGCAAAGATGTGAAGCATTCTAAATGCAAAGTAGATGGCCATTTTGTTCTTGCAATCTGTTAAAGCAGTCTGTCTGCTGTGATCTCTGTGTATGTATTTTTTTGTTTTGTTTTTCCCCCTTCTGCACTTAAAAATTGAAGCTTCCCCATCTGTGTTGCTTTGCAACACTCTCATACCTTTTCCTTTTGGTAAGGTCTCTTAGTAGTCAGCAGTCTTTCCTGTTGGAAGGGAGAGTTGGAGCAGTCCCTAGGAGAACATGTTTGTCTTAGCTGCCAGACACTTTTATTTTTTTGCATGCATGCACTTCTAATGCTTTTCTCCTCTCCCTATCCAATAATAGTCTTGCCAGAAGCTAAGTACACAGAAATAAAAGCTTTGGCTGGGCAAGGATTGTTTGCAAGAAATGTGAGGTGATCTGAAGGTAGATAGTTGAATTAGACTTTCATAGCTTTTACTGCTTGAAACTTCCAGATATCTGTCTGCCCTCAGATGTGAGAGAGGCTGCACAGGTCATAGCTTCTGTGTCGGAAGGGTAATCTGGATGCTTTTAGGTGCTGAATGCTTTCTAGTATTCCCTCAGTCTTAAAAGTCTATGAATTACTGTGCACCTGTGGGAGAAAGAGGAGTTGCCGTCAGTGTGAGTGACAGAGGTGGAGACACGTGCTAAAAATGTCAGTTTCCCCATAGAATAGAAGACTGTCACTGTATCAGTCATCCTTGACAGCTTGTCCTTAAGCAGACTTGAGAACAGGGAAGGGTAGTCCTGCCCTACATCCATGCCTTATCCTCTGCTTGCTCACTGGGTCCAAATGTTGCGTGGCCATAGGGTTGTTCTGTGAACGTGGCTGCAAACCAGCATGCTTGGAAGAAGTTAGTGTTAGTGGGCTGAATGAACCAGCTCATGCTTCTGTCATGTAGTTGCGAGATGCTTTGTAAGTGGTGGGGTGAGATCCAAAAGTTGCAGGAAGAAAAGTAGTCTGAGAAGTGTATTTTTAGCAGCTAATTGCCAAAGTGGTTAAAACTTGCTCTGTGTTGTGCAGCTTATTTTCTTGTATAGTGACTCTAGTTCCAGTAATGGTGGCGCAGCTATTCTAGCTGCACCCACAGCTTGTTAGATGTTCTAACACAAACCTAGGAGTATGAATATCTTGTGTTGTCTTGTCTTGTGAAGGTGTTGCAAAGAACTTTGAATTATTGAGCAATGAAATCAAAGTACTTTGCTCCACAGTTCAGCTTTTTAGTTTGGTAATAGCTATGTAGAGCAAAAGCTGGTTGTTCCTTACTCTGGATCTTACAGTTTTAGAGAAATGTTTCTGCCTGCCCGGCACACCTTTCCTTCATGCAGTGTTTGCTGTGCAATCTAGCTGCCCTTTTCTCCTCTGCCTTTGTGGGTTTCTGTAGTGTGCGAGTGTGTGTGGTCAGTGTTTGCAGCCCATGGTGTGCTGGTGGAGTACAGCTTGTGTGAAACAGATGGAGCAAAACCAGAGGC